GGCGCCCAGCGCTGAAGACTACAGCTACAGCTATGGCGCACAGCGCCGAAGACTACAGCTAGCGCTAATACCTACTGCCTAGCGCTGAAGACTACTGCAGCGCTCCTCCTGAGTGCTGCGGCCGAAATCCTGAAGACTACCACTGCCTACTGACACTACCTACCCGTGAAGTGCATGTGAACTTCCTATGTACYACGGGTGTGCCTCCTGAGCCTGCCGAAGGAAGGCAGGGGCTGCAGCTGCAGCTCCTGCTCAAACTCGTGAGGAACAGGCTATTTCTGGCCTGTTCCGCATCCCTGTTTACGTGCCTGAGTCTTAGGGGCATCCCTGTTTACGTGCTCAAACTCGTGAGGAACAATGAGGGCCTGAAAATGGCCCTCCATTTCATGCTGAAAACTCTCGGTCTGAAAAGACCCAGAAATAGGCTGAAACGGGGTAGGGCCTGCAGACCCTCGTTTTTCAGCTTTCAGGCTGAAACGAACGAGGCCTGTAAGCTCTAAGTTTTAGGCTTTTAGGCTGAATGTCCGGGACGGGCCCTGCAGGGCCCATGTGGCTACGCAGTATGCCACACCCCCCCCTCCTTGAAGCACCGAACATACCTGCGAGGGCGAAGCTGTCTGTCTGAGGGAGGGACCACAGTCCGGGTGGGAGGGGCTGGTCGTGAAGCTTCCTGAGCTAACCTGCGCTTTTCATAATGCACGTAGACCAGCGGTGCGGATGGTTTCAAATCTGCGCCTGAAATCCACCGAGTGTCGTCGCGATCGCATGCTTTGAATGTGACTTTGTACTGCCGCGGCTTGCTGCCGTACTTGCGATCGGAGATGACGCGGTCAACTTCCTGATGGCCATCCATAGAAGGAGGGTCATGTGATCGTCGGTCCGGAAAGTCGTCGCTCTTGGCTGGCGTGTATGTTGCCAGCTTCGAGGCGTGGAAGACCGGATGGACCGTCAGAGGCTCTGGAATGTTGATCACAAATGAATGGCCATCAGGCTCATCGCCCGCGGCTGCTGTCACCGACCAAGGTCCAAACCACTTGGGAAGCAGTTTGCGTGAAACGTCCTGTTCCTGTGCAAACTCTTCCGCGGAGACCCAAACCAGATCACCGGCGCGGATGGGACATGGTACGCGACGCCTGTTGGCTTGCTGCTGCATGCGGACTTGAGCCTTTTGCATATTTGCGCGGGCTTGAGTTAGCAATTCCCTGTACTTCCGGACGGAAGCGGGAGAGCAGGCAGCGTCAATGTCGGTTGGTCGAGGGAGGAGAAGGTCGGCGAAAATCCGACCTTTCCGTCCACCGTGGTGCAACTCGAATGGAGTCACGCCGATCGCTGGATGCACTGAAGTGTTGTAGGCGAACTCGATGTCGGGGAGGCGGTCAACCCAATCTTTCTGGACCGGACGGATGAGCGTACGAAGCATCATTTGAGCGGTTTGATGTGCCCGCTCCGTCTGCCTGTCTGTCTGAGGATGTCGAGCCAAACTAGGTTTCATTGTTGTGCCGGACTCCTGCATGAGAGCAGTCCAAAACGCCGACATGAAACGAGTGTCGCGGTCGCTGACAATGTCTTCTGGTACACCGTGGCCACAAATCCAACCAGTGTGCAGGAGGCGTGCCAGCTCGGAAGTCGTGGAGTAGTACTTGCAAGGGAGAAAACACGCGTACTTACTCAATCGGTCCACAACCGTGAGGATGCCGTCATGCCCGAGCCGGTCGCGAGGAAACGGACCGGTAACGTCCATGGCAATGGAGAGACCGGGTTCCCGTGGGATAGGCATCGGGTGTAACTCGCCGTAGGGATTGCGGTTGCGGGGCTTGCTGCATCGGCAAACTTCGCAAGAGTCACAATACCGAGTGACATCGGTAATGAGGTCGGGCCATCGGAATCGTTGTCGAAGCCGTGCAATAGTGCAGTTGACTCCGAAATGGCCGGCGAGTCGTGAATCATGGTACTCGCCGAGGAGGCGAGTCCGAAGACAACGGTCGCGTGGGACACATAGTAAGTCCT